ACCATAGCTTCACCATCAATAAACTACACTGATCCTAACCTAATCCACAATGCACCTTCTTAACTCACATGCCAAGCCTAAACTCTTTATTTGGAGGATCAATGAGAGAGAAACCAGCACTAACTGGTTTACCCCATTTTTAAACAATAGTTGCAAAGAATGGTGCAAATGTCAATGCTAAGCACCACTTCTAATTTATTTTCTCTCAAACACCATAAGTTCTGCCTACTCTCAAAACGAATAGACAGCAAAGCAAGATTCCTATAGCCAACCCAAGATTAATTAAGATAAGACCTAGTTGAGTTTAGTTCTCTGATGAACCTTCTGAACTCTCAACATGACCAAAAAGACAGCATTGCCTATCTTTTTGTATCTGTCAAAATGGACTCTAAAAGGTATATACGAGTGCTACTTGTCATCAGGTCCAATTGCTAGTACAAGAGAAACAAGAGGAGGAATGAAGAAGCAAGATTGCATGATCCATACAGGTATGCGTGATTCAGGAGCAATCAACAGTTCAGAAAATCAATCACATAAGAAGTATCTTCCTGAGGAAAAGGGTCATTCTCAAAGGAAAGCACTTTGACCACATTGACTAAGGTTACAATCCATAAATGAAGTTGTGTGCCATGTACCATGGTCAAAATAATTCTCATAAAACAAAATATTAGGATTTTAAGATGGTTTGTTTTAACTGTCCTCCTTCATGGATGGGGGCCTCTCTGTACTCTTTTTTTTTTCAATAATCTGATATAATATAACTTATGCATAAAAAATTATAGATAAAATGTTAAGTTAGGCCTCTCTCTAATCAGTTATTGGGTCTTTATGAAGTTATGCCAGTCAATAGCCTCTAAGAGATTGAGCTGTTAAACTTTAAAATACCCCATATGGGTTTAGTTTTTCCATTAGTTAGAACTAGAGACTGAAACTTGACCATGAATGGATAATGTTCTTTGTTCATCTGAATTGTTGATTTACACAACTCTCCCTGTTGAGAAGTATAGTTCTATAATGCTAGAATTTTCTAAATTAAGAAAGAAACCATTATATATTAGACTATAAAAAAAAAAAAAAACTCAATTCATTTTTAAATTAATCTCTCTTGGTCGTTGGTCCTATTAGGATGACATCTGTGCATATATAACTTTTGTTGGACAGCTTTGAAAGTCCAACTGTCTAACAATGATATCTAGAAGAGTGGCTTTCAACTTTCAATGTTCAATGTGGCAGCTTATGTAATTTAGCAGCCCAAATAGGGAACCACTCCTTATTCATAAAGCAAAGTCCCTCCTAATTGGCCATACCCTTTACCACTTTTACATAAAAAGGATTTTCTTCTGTGCGCCCACATGAGATTATAACCATCTGATTTTGTTGAACTTTTTAGATGGGGTGAAATATTTGTGAATCTCTTTATATAATGCTAAAATCAGATGGCTAAGGAATCAGTGGCAGCCACTGCAGCCCAACCATTTATGACTTTTTTAATTCACATCACGATAGATAACAATGCCTCCGATTATTTTGTATCAAGGATGAAAATAAATCAACTTGTCAAGGATGAAACATGTTGAGTTTCACAGTGTAATGGTATGTATATCAGAGTGTCATAGTAATTGAAAACCAAAGCGAATCACAATAGTAAATTAGTAATTGAACAAATCAGAGAAAGAATAATTCAACAAATAAAATCAAATCTGTTTTAATAGGAATAACAAGATCAAAGCTGCTTTAATAAACAAATGAAAGCTGAGCAGGATACAGATCAACCTTTCTAGTCAAGACAGAGGATGACTTGCTAACCAAACGAACAGGATCAATTAACAGAGAATTCAAAAATCAGGTATGAAGAGGTGGGTTACTGATAAGAAGGCTTTGTAGAGCACCATTGTTGAGATTGACAGAGCTGAAGAGGCGGGTCCCTTGTCTGAAGATCTGAGACTTAAGAGGTCAATTGCAAAAATCAGGTATGACAAGATGGCAGTTGAGGAAGAGAGGAAGTGGAGACAAAGAGCTAAATCCATTTGGCTTAAAGAGGGGGATAAAAATACAAAGTTCTTTCACAAAATGGCAAA